CTCCTGAACCACAGACAATGTCAGAGGCGTCTTACCTTGGCTAAGGAGAAGAAGAACTGGATACCTTGTGAAGACTTACAGAAAACGTTTGACCTCTGTCATTGCCAACAAAGGGTATATAACAAAGTATTGAGATGAAATTTTCTTATTGACCAAATACTTATTTTCCACCATAATTTGCAAATAAATTCTTTAAAAATCCTACAATGTGATTTTCTGGATTTTTTTTCTCATTTTGTCTCTCATAGTTGAGGTATACCTATGCTGAAAATTACAGGCCTCTCTCATCTTTTTAAGTGGGAGAACTTGCACAATTGGTGGCTGACTAAATACTTTTTTTCCCCACTGTATATGTCGATAGATATGATAATGCATATGGAGATTATTTTCAGAGCAAATATATGGGGAAGGCAGCAATACATGATGAAAAATGTATGAGGCTAGAATCTGTTTTTGAATCTAATGGTTCAGATGTTTTGGAGTCTCCAGGTAAAAATCAATCGCTTAAGAAACCCAATGGTGGTGATGGGTCTGTTTCTTACTGCTTTCAAATCAGGCTTCCTCTAGCAAAAGTTTAAATTGGTCAAATGCTTGTTCTGACTCACACTCTGTTCCAAACACTCACTGTTTAAAAGCCTTCTGGAAAGGTTTGGCAATTATCTGACTCTAAGACCGAGGGTTCTGCAAGTAAGATGACTGTGAGACAAATCGGATTAAAAAAATGGTATGGGTTAGGGCTGCACGATAAATCGCATGCAATATTTAATGCGCATCTCGTCAGTAAAGCCGGTTCTGTAATCAGCGGTAAAACTCCATCACGTGCGTGCTTTCACATTGAGCAGCATTTACTACACAGAGCCGTTGTTCACTGACAAGTGCGCAGCTTGTCTCCTATAAACGCGCTGATCATTTCCTGCTTTTTTGAAGCCCCTCCCTCAGAAATACGGGATGGGCTCTGATTGGTTAGCTGTCCCAGTGTATTTTGATTGGCTCAACCACCTCTAGTGCGTGTCTAAACGTCCCACCCCTCACCTCAGCGGCATGTGCTCCGGTTGTATTGTAAACAATGGCGTTGTCTATATTGCTTAACAATTTTAGCCCGATTGAGATGCAGAGGATATTAGTGAAGAAGATCGCGCAGAACATGTGCAAGCACGGCTCTTAATGGTATGTTTTTTGTTGTCTCATACTTTTAGATACGCTGTTATTTGTAAATGCGACTGCTTCTATAAGCTTTTAATATACGGTTTTATCCTGATTAAAGCTTTAATACAGTACCGCATGTGCATCCATGTATAACGCTTCTCATAGCTATGTGAAAATAAGCGTATAAATGGAACAGTTCATTGTTGGAGCTGAGCTGAATGAGAGAGAGAGAGAGAGAGAGAGAGAGATGCAGAGCATGTGCAGAGCAGGGGGACACGAGGAAGAGGATTGAGAACCACTGCTTTAGAACATTGATTTTGAATCTTGTGAATCCATTAGAATCGTTAGAAGACAGAATCGTGATTCATATATGAACAGATTTTTATGTGCACCTCTAGTTTTCGCTTCCTCTTATCAAGGTTTGTGATGTCACAAACCCGAGAAGTAGCTCGTTGTAGTCCCTACCAGCCGTTTCTGTAGGCATTAAACTGTCAGAATTTTAAAAGACGATATCTCCATTTGCACTGAACTTTCAGCACTGCAACTTTGCAGATATTGTTTATGTTCAAACAGCAACATTACAAACTAACTAACATTAAAAAAGTGAAATCGTAATCAACCACCCCTTTAATATTATTCAATATACTAGCTTTTTACAGAAAATATTCAGATGTAGCCCCCTTTATAATCGTTAACATTTTCACATGTAGCTATAACTTAATTACACATTTTTTTCTCAGTAACTGTAACAGATTATAGTTACATTTATTTTGTAATTAAATTACATAAAGCCATTACATGTAACTGGTTTCTCCCCAACACTGGTGTTGAATACATCATGCAGTTACCAAGCTACAGAAATACAAGCGCACAGCACACAGCAAGTGCACTAGCCACTTGTTATGAGCAGTGCCTCCTACAGCAATCACAACACTTGGGGATTTCTATAGGTCAGCATTTCTGCTTTGCAAGGAGTGCAAGGCTCCTCAAGTTAAACCGCCCCTCACAAGGTAGCAATTGTTTCAGAGCTGGTCTCAATCGTGCGGTTGGCAGGAATGCATTAAACATGAACTGTCTGACAGCAGCGCACAGGGCACAACCCCACGAGAGATGATCTAATACCTCCTCCAGACAGGAGCCTTTCAGTGGAGTCCCAAAAATGGATTTCTCTGATAACCGCACGCCGCTTATCATACTTGGCAGGGCTCGATACATAACCTATTCACAAATACAGTACATAATGTTTGTACAGTCTTTGCTTAAAGCTTGGCATTGTTTGTGTATTGTGTGCTCTTTTGAGCAGCAGGTGCGTTGTGAATGGATATTCTGGCTGTTGAATGCCTGTCATTTGGGCTCTTCCTGTTTACGTTTGACTGCTCATTACCGAATCCCAACAGCCTGTGGCTCGCCGCTGAATAGCCGATCTGCTATACCATGAACGCCACATCCTGCAATTGAATACGATGAGAAAGTTTGGCAGCAGCAAAGCACTGAGCTCATCGAAATCAGAAGCAGCAAATTACAGAACAAGCTGTCATTAATAACTCTGCTATTTCAATCCGAGCAGTGCTTTATCATCAAAATCCTAAGAAATCAAACATAACGGTGTCATAAATAATGTACTAAGCTGCTTAATATTGACAAGAGGCAACATAATGTCTTTGCAGTGCAGTCATATGATTCATTCTGAACAATATCCCGTCATATATAACCATTTATGCATGTTATAATCTGATTAAAATCTTCAGACAGACTTTATGAGCTGCAGGATCGCTACGCCTGTGCTTTGTTTTGTCTGATTTGTGAGAACCAGCCTTGAGACCCTGCTCAGAAAAAGAGCTGGGTAAAGCAAGAGAAGGAATATTGATAAGCGTATGGTTGAGACCTTATGTAAGATGCCGTTACTAGCACAGCAGGAGGACAAATTCCCTTCAGCACAAACAGATACTAAATATTCCAATGCCAGTGGGTGAAATGGGGTGAGATGGTAAATATAAAGATGGAAAGGATAGATAGATATATGCAGATATATATACTTATTACTTATTTGTGGCTTAAGCTCAGCCACAGCGTAAAACTACAGGCATTCTTGGTGGAATTTCTTGGTGTTTTCAACAACACTCTGAGAAACTAGATTTTGGCAAATTGGTGGAAAATTTGTATAAATTCAAATGGTTTTATTTAAACATTTTTGTACAGTCTGCTTACACCCCACCAACCCAATCTCACAGGAAAATGTAACTATTTTACAAAGTGGTGATTTTATATGAATGAATGATGTAAATTGAACGAAAACATATGATTTCTAGAAAAAATGTAAGCACGAAGGTCCACGCCTAACCCCACCCTAAACATAACTGTCTCTTAAGCCAAATCAGGTGGTACAAAAATGTATGAATAAGATACAAAGTCATTCAAATTAGCCACTAATAGGCCAAAACTTCATGAATAACCAGGTTAGGTTAGGAGTGGATCTTTATGCTTATTTTCGAATAAATCACATCATACAAATACATGCTAAATCATGACCTCTTGAAGGTGACATATCATGAAAATCTGATTTTTCCAGGTTTTAAGTGCTATAATCAGAACCCCAGTGCATCTACCAACCAAGGAAACGTGAAAAAGATTAACCCGGTAACTTTGTTTTGGGAAGCCTTTTTCTGCAAGCGTCTGAAAAAACGAGTGTGTCTGATTTCGCTCCCTTGGTGACGTGGCAAAGGGATCTCATTATAATATTACCGCCCCTTAATCTGTAAGTTTCCACTCACGGAGCAGTTATTGTGTTTTCGCAAGCGACAACGGTGTACTAGTTCTAATGCCATGGCGAAGTTTGAGCAAAACATGCTAACTGTTCTGTCTTTGGCTGCACAGACGAGCACAGAACACTGTTTACAGTCCCAGCCTCAGAGGAGACAAGACAGCAGTGGATTGATTTATTTAATGTATATTACTGCTGCCACACAGATCTAAAATAAATATGCAATTTATTTCCCAGCTGTTTACCTTCACAGACATAACCGACTGTTTTTGTAACTCGTGTGTGTTTTTAACGCAATCTTGTGTGTGAAAGACAACATTGTAAGTGCCCTACAATTTGTAAGTAATTTACCCAGCTCTGTACAGTACATGATTTTTTTTATTAAACCTGACTGAGACATTTCAGTGTGCTTTGCATAGGACTAGACAGGGAGAGTTAATATTGTAAGCAAGTGTAATTTTATATGTTTTTGAGCCAGAAGAAAAAGAAGAAACTTGTAAATATTTCATGTTCTGTTATAATGGGATTTAGAACAGTTTTATATTGGTATTTTGGGGGTTTACATTATGCTGAACAGTGCATATTGTGCTGATGTTGAGTATTGCTACATACAATAAAGTCCTGTATTTAATATTGCTTTCCCAGCATAGTGATCTACTTTTTCTTGTACCTCCTGCCAAAATCATGTTATATATAATAATAAAATAGTATATTTAAGATGCTAGTTTTCTGTTCACAGTTTTCTATTAATATACCAAACATCTGAGTTGAGTTTACACAGCAATTTCATGGATTTTTTAAACAAAAAAAGACATGATTGAACCAAAAGTGAAAATTCTGTCATCATTTACTCACACTCATGTCGTTCCAAATCTGCAGGGCTTTTCTTTTTCTGAGGAAAACAAGCAGATCAGACCTAGTTGATGTTGTATGGACATATTGTGTGATATTGTAGTAAAGAAAGAAAGTCGAACAGGTTTAAAAATACATGAGGGCGAGTAAATAATGATTTTTGGGGCAAACTACAAAGCTTCAGATATCACGAGGGCTTTTTCCAGACATGTACTCAATTTTCTCTTTTTCTTCTCTTCAGGTTGTGGGACAAATCGACAAGTTAACATCAGATATCGACCTTGACTCAGACGATGACCTGACACTAGTGTGTTGCAGAGAGGACTGTAGTGACCTCTTGCACAATGAGACATTATCCGACTACCACTTATCGCACAACCGTCTGCTAGACAGGGTCCGTAGCCCAACCACAGCCAAGAAACAAGAATTAGAGCTCTACCGCAGGAGCTGTGGAGACTTGCCTGCCCTCAATGGACCGTTAAAGGCCTCAAACAGCCCTAAAGCCTCCTGGCTCTTTGGATCTGGAGGACAGCTCCATTATTACGACAAGACGCTATATCACGCATTATGCTGTGACGATGACTATAATGACGAAGATAGAGGTGGAATGAGATCATCGAGGCTGTCGTCCACCGATTCCGTGTTTTCATCTTCACCTCCGAGGTTTCTGACGCCCAGATGTAACCGTAAAACGTACTCCAGCCCGGACTCGAAGAAAAGAGCTCTCCGTAGCTGCAGTACGCAAACTGTTTCCGATAAAAGCACACAAACTCACTTCCCATACATTCCAGCCAAGCAAAGAGCTTCAAGTGACTACAAGAACTGAAACTTTCCGCAAGCGTCCCGAAACTTGGATAGTTAACCCAGAATGAATCATCTGTCATTAATTTTTCACCCTCATGCTGCTCTGAAACCATATGACTTCCCTTCTTCTGTGGAATGCAGAAGGTGAATTTTTTTCGATATAATATAAGTGAAAAATAACAGGGACTGTGAAGCTGCAAAATGACAACAACAAAAAAAGTCCACATGACTTGTTAATACATTTAAAATCTTCTGAACGTACACTACTGGTCAAAAGTTTGGAATGATTAAGTGTTTAATGTTTTTGAATGAAGTCTCTTCTGCTTACCAAGGCTGCATTTATTTGATGGAAAATACAGTAAGCTGTTAGAAAAAAGTAAAAATCATTACAATTTAACACTTTCCGCAAGCGTCCCGAAACTTGGATAGTTAACCCAGAATGAATCATCTGTCATTAATTTTTCACCCTCATGCTGCTCTGAAACCATATGACTTCCCTTCTTCTGTGGAATGCAGAAGGTGAATTTTTTTCGATATAATATAAGTGAAAAATAACAGGGACTGTGAAGCTGCAAAATGACAACAACAAAAAAAGTCCACATGACTTGTTAATACATTTAAAATCTTCTGAACGTACACTACTGGTCAAAAGTTTGGAATGATTAAATGTTTAATGTTTTTGAATGAAGTCTCTTCTGCTTACCAAGGCTGCATTTATTTGATGGAAAATACAGTAAGCTGTTAGAAAAAAGTAAAAATCATTACAATTTAACTGAACTGTTTTCTATTTAAATATATTTTAAAATGTAATTTATTCCTGTGATCAAAGCTGGATTTTCAGCATCATTTCTCCAGTCTTCAGTGTCACACGATCCTTCAGAAATCATACTAATATGCTGATTTGCTGCACAGTTATTAGTTATCACAAGTATTAATAATGGCTCATTGTACAGTTGCACTGCTTATTATTTTTATTTGAAATATGAATCTTTTGCAACATTATAAATGTATTTACTGTTACTTTTGATCAATTTAATGAATCCTTGGTTAATGCAAGTATTTATTTATTTTTTGTTCTTTTTTTTTTAAATCTTACTTAACACAAACTTTTGAATGGTTCCCACAAAAATATTAAGCAGCAAAAACGTTTTAACACTGATGATAATAATAACAACACATTTTTCTTGAGCAGCAAATCAGCATAATGATTTCTGAAAGATCATGTGCACTGAAGACAGGAATAAATTAAATTTTTAATGTAATATAATTTAATTATATTAATATGAAAAGTTATTTTAAATGATATTATTATTGTTTTACTGTATTTTTCATCATATAAATGCAATTTGTGAACATAAGAAACTTTTTTCAAAAACATAAAAAAATCATAGGTATTACAAACGTTTGAGCAGTAGTGTATTTGTTAGGTTTGAGATCCAAATTTTATAATTATTCACCAAAAATCTTAGCGCTAGCAGTCTGATTTCTGCTCTATGAACTCTTCTGTGAAGTCATTGTTTTTGTTGGATCTTTTCAGTGAATATATTTATTCAATTCACAAAACCAGTCTGAATGATTTGTTCTTAAATCACAGCTATTGTTATGATATTTTAATGATACTTTCATGGTGCTTTTGTGTCATTTTTGAAAGGAAAAGCATGACCAAAAGATCTCATTTGTGTTCCACTGAAGAATGAAAGTCAGTGAAATGACATGAGGGTGAATAAATGAACAGAATTTTCATTTTGGGGTGAACTAATCATTTCAATTAGTTTGAAATGATTTTGAACTGTACCATCTGTATTTATGAAATGTTTAGGTCGATACTTATGATAATGGAAAAAACATCTGTTCTCATGGAGTTTCCAAAGAACAATTTAAACACCGTTTGGATTCATTATGAGGGATTATGCCAATATCGAAACAATCATTCATCTCGGTCCAAAGCCCCCTAAAGAGTTAGAATTGGTTTCGGTCACACCCACACTGTGCAGTAAATAGACACAGTTAAATTAAGCTAGCGGTACGCTTCCCCAAAGAATTACTAGAATATAAATAATGTGCTTTATTAGGCTGTTATTTCTGACAAAACCCCAAGTAAATTATGAATAAAATGATGAATACAACTTTCTGGCAGACGCTTCATTCCGAATCATCTTCCTCTCACCAGGACGTTAATTAGTAAAACTGTTTTTCCTGTGATGTATGCACAGATTTACCATAGTAACCATGGCTGTGACAATAAAACTGCTGCATTAGCCACTGTCACGAATATAGAAGTGAAAAAAAGCGCTTTTTACAGTGTTTAAAGAAGATCCATTTACTAGCGGTGGTTGCTAAAGCTAATATTTGCATATAAGGCTCATATAGGATCATTACTGCCATAATTAGGGTTAATGATTTGAGCAATCCCCTAAGTGTGTTACATTTTGCTGTGCAGCTCATACTGCAAGGTCTGCACTACAAACATGAATGATGCCTCAAATAGTGTGGCTTATTGAGAAGAAGTGCGTTATTACTTTTCTACGCAATCAGACTTGCCCTGTGGACTGTAAAATTAGTAAAAATATCTGTAGACTTCTTTTATCTAGAGATCAAATACAAGTGGAGTTGAGCTCTTTTGATTTGGGCGAGAAACCACTTCAAAACCAGCCAGAACTGCAAAGCAGCATGCTAAAACCCATTTATAACATTGAATAACCAAAAAACAACGTCCAGGCAACCACCACTCACACTTTCTTAAGAAAATCTGATTATGTTTTTACATGTATAAACAGTGGTGGAAATGGCCAAAATTCACTGGGGGGGGGGGCTCTAGCTTGGAAAGGGGGAGGGGATAATAATGGTAATTTTAGATTGTATTTAATTAGATGTATTTAATTATAAAACCCTTTATGATCTATAATAACATGAAACTTATTTCATATTTTCTCTAAACCTTCTTGGATATTTCCAATTCTGGCCAAATTAAAGGGGTCATATGATGCGATTTCGAGTTTTCCTTTCTCTTTGGAGTGTTACAAGCTGATTGTGAATACATAAGATCCCTACAGTGTAGAGTAGCGCTTGTTGTTTGTCATTTCTTCGATCACAAATGCAGGCATGGTTTTATGTTTACACGGCGCGATGCAACGCAACACGTAAAAAAACAGTATAAGTCATTATAATCCGTTATTATGTCCCCACTGGACGCAACGAATGCCTCGTTTATAATGGGTTTTAATTTTTGGATCATCGCTCCGGCCGGACAGGGCATCACAGTATGGTGAGGGGCGTAACATTTCCGTCACACGCTTGAGGTATTCGGCCAATCACAACGCACTGGATAGCTGGCCAATCACAGCACACCTCACTTTTCAGACCGATGAGCTTTGTAAAAATCGACGCGTTTCAGAAAGGCGGGGCATAGAGGAGAAACAATAATGTACAGTATGTGGAAAATAATGTGTTTTTTAACCTTAAACCGCATAAACGCATTTCATTACACCAAATAATGTTCTTTTTAGCAACATCATATGACCCCTTTAAAGATACATTGTGTGTGAATTTGCACATGTTATAATGTAAGCATCATTAATGACCCCTTGTGTTTAATAAAAAAAAAAAGATTAGTGAAATGAAAGAATGATTATTATTAATGGTCTCTAATTGGCCTGTTTAGCTAAGCCCTCAGAACACTTCTTATTTAGTGGTACAGTATTACATGATTTTTAGATATTTAATAGTTTACACTTTGCATAAACGTTTGCAATTAGTTTTTAAAAGGTAACTTTACATTCTTAAGGACTCTACGCCGCTTACATTTCTTTTCAGGAGCACTTGTGATCTGATCATTGACAGAAATTAACCTTCCCATTATAAAGTGATATTTGACTCAAAGTTTTTTTTCTTTTTTTAAACCTTTGTAATTCCTATAACTTTATTAAATGCATGTCATCTTTTGTGCCAACATTTTTTTTATTTATAAACTTATATCGAACATTTTAATTAAACAATAAATTCAATTAAAATAATAAAATACAATCAGGAAGAATAAGTTACTAGTCAAATGAAATCAGCATCAACAATTCATCTTTGCACAGCACAGAAGAGCACAAATGTGGCATTAAGGAATATTTACAGACTTTTTGACAAGACTCAGAGGTGGCATTAATGCATTTCATAATAGCAATACAGTTTTAAATATAAAGTTTTGAATACAGAAATATTAAATTATTTAAATGGCTCAATTTACACTTCAAAAATAAAACTGAAACCGCCAATAGGTGGTAGCAAGTCACTGTCTTTGTCACTGAATCATTCATTCAATCGATTCGTTCAAACAGCTGATTCATTTAGGAATGAAGCAAGTGACTCTTTATGAATGGGTCATTGAATCATTGACTCACTAGATTTGTTCAAAAACGCAGATTCATTCATAAACGAAACAGCGCTGTGTTTGCTTGAAGATGCACAGCGGCTCAGCTGTGACTTTGGAACTATTTTCGTTGACAAAATAGAGCACAATCAGACAACAGTGTTCCTAAAATGTAAGTAACTTAATATGAACTTTTGTATAAAATAAAACATTTATAAAACTGTTGTATAAATTCAATTTCCCATTTGCAAACCCTGTCACTCATCTTAGTTCATCGTGATCTCACAAACTTCCATTTGAATGAATGAAGCTCTCTGCACTGCACACTGAAGCTATTGTTTACATCGTCTCTACACTTTGTTTGTTATAATGAATGACAAAAACTGCAGTCTGCTTTCACCATCTGTTCTGTGAGGAGTAGCACAGACACCGATAGAGAGGCATTTCTATTGGCTGCAGTCTGCAGCTATTATGGCCAATCACAAAAGACGGCATTGCGCAGCGAACCATAGATACAAACAGAACTGAACTGGGATCGCTTTCGTAGTCTTTTGAATGGATAAAATATAGAAATCCCTTTAATTTCCAAATGAACCTAACCAGTTGGAAATGAAACGCCGTCCCCCATCGAAATTCACTCCCCGGACTCCATCCCCCTGCGTCCCCCCCATTTCCAGCCCTGTCTATAAATAACTCCTTTTGGGGTTTGCTGAAGAACAAAATAACATTTTCAAAAGATATGGCTAAATAAATGATAACAG